TATTCGGCAACCCGTTTATTAAATGTTTTCTGGAATATTCAAATTCCGACATTCGTAATAATAAGCTGTATAACATATCAAATGACAATTTGCTTATAACTGATGTGGTTAACCTTGGAATTAGCTTATTAAAAACATTTTCCGAACCAATACAGTTCAATAGAATGATAAAGTATCTTTGATTGAAAATAGATATTTCTTGTAGAATATCTTCAATTATTTCAAGAGGCAAGGCTCGCGGATTGAACGTGCTTAACAACTTGATGTCACAATCTAAATGCAAGAATAGATTATATGACTTAAATAATTCATACTGGCCAACGACTTCCTCATTAAATGCGATAAGCTCGGGAACTTTAGAGTATGATACGTGAAATAATACGTCAACAATATCATTTGCATAGAAAGATTGAACAATATCATCATTTTGTCTCGTTTTAAAATATAACACTAAATCTTTCAAGCATGGCTTAATATTATGGATGATATTCGTATCCTTACCAAAGGTATTTATCCGCTGAATTAATTTACTGTAGAATTGAATAAACAAAACTACCTGCAAAACATCATCGTTATCGGAAAAATCCAGATAAGATAAAACGTAGTAATTCTTTGGTAAATCAAATTGCTTCTCTAAAACATACGGCATCAACAAGAGAATATAGTCTAAAAACTTAACCAACTTGTCTTCACTGTCTCTTGCGTGATCGTATAAGTCTCTAAATTCGGTACTTAATAGCTTTGTAGACACAACAGTGCTCGAAAGACCAACTAATTCAGAGATTAGTAACTCAACTTGGTTCACGACGTTCAATGTGACATCCTTTTCAAAATACCTAGACAAAATGGTATTTAATATGACTGTTTCATCAAATAACTTAACCGTGATCTCCGACATTGCATTATTCCGTAATAATCTAATAATCATACAGCATATGGCCGAATCTCCCGTCAATCCATTTATTATAAAATCTAACGGATAAAGCAGTAAAATTTCCCCAATATTCAAGTATGCTAATATTGTATCCAACAAACTTATCACCACCCGCTCAGGGTCTATCTCAAAATAATGTTCTCCATTCAACAAACTATTAATCGTTGGAATAAATAAAGATATGAACTTGTTCAGCTCAATGCTCTCATTTGGCTGTTCATCGGGAAAGATTATCAACCGATTGTTTTTTAATTGCAAAATATAGTTTTCTATCAAAGTGGCGTTAACTACCTTATCGCTATTCAATATCTCATTTAAATGAACATGTATTTTTACAGAGCTGCTATCTATACCGTTATAATCCATTATGCTTTAGATGTAGTCCGTAGTCTAATTGATTATGTCTCATTAGTTTTACGAATTGAAAAAAGCCGTTTCATACAATCCATTATAAGTAATATTCCTCTTTCGATTAGACGAGGTCTAATCTGCTGGCATGCACGCGTGAAAAATCGTCAAACAATTTTTTTTATATTTTCTTTAAAAGAGTACATATATAGTTATACGGACGATAGAAGCCGATTTCAATAAGGATAATTGGTAATTAGGTATGTCGATAAAAGATCTAATGGACAATCCATCAATTTTTCCGATGACTAAAACTGAAACTATGAGCCAAACCGCAAAGATAAACATAAATAATATCCTATCGCCTAAGGCTACGCCGAACACAGGTTCAATTTCAGTTTCAGACGATAAAAAAAACTCCTCCGTGAAGGAAGAAAAGGAAAACACGTCTGTCAAACCAGAGGGAGAAATCGGTGATGTTTCGATTCCCGATAATGAACCAAAGGGTGAGGAAACAACTATAGACGCTTCAAAAACCGCGACGGAAAGCGCACAAGTTGAACCAAGTAGCGGAAACCAAGTTAACGAGGAGGAAGATAAAGAAAACATGAAAGTTGAATCTGAGAAAAATAACGAGTCAGATGTAAAAAAGGCTACTGTTCCAGATAAGAACGAAGAGGTTTACAGAGATAATGCAAAAAAGCTCTTCAAAGAAGAATTTGTCACGATTGAGCCTGAAGAATATACGCGGTTCTTAGCTGCTGATGATGAAGAAAGTTCAAGGACTAGACAGATATACATGGACTTATTTGAATGGGACGCGAGCTTGTTGGTTTCAACAAGAATGCTTTGTTCGAAGTTGTATTTGAAAGGTGAGTCCCAAGAAATTGATAGAATCTTGTCTGCGTTCACGAAGTCTTATGTCAACCAGCACAAGAGCAATATTTTTTGCACCACGAATTTTGAAAAGATATATATTATATTGTACAGTTTAATCTTATTGAACACATCATTGCATAACGGTGAATTAAATAAAAGAAGCAAGATCGGTCAAACAGAATATATTAGAAATACATTTACCACGTTTGTGAACCAAAATCCTAAGAAACCCAAAAAATTATCTATCAAACAAAAACTTGCTATTGAAATGGAATTATGCGATTATTACGACGATTTGGCAAGAAATGAACTATATTTAAAACAAGCCAGCCAAAAATTAGACGTTGGAAATGAAAAAAGCAAAGTATATGTTAAGCGTGTTTCAGATAACTCATCCAAATCAAATTTAAAACAGGAAGATGGTGAATCACCTGTGTTATCTAGACAAGCGTCCGCGTCTTCTATTTGGTCCTCCGATACGACTGGTAATCGTCGTTCTTCATTATACATACAACCAGTACAAACAGGAGGCTCAGGAATGTCTCAATTCTCTTCAAGAAATCATACCAAAAAGAATCATAGAGTCGGTTTAGCAAGGGCGTTGGTAACAGAACAAAATCAAAAGATTTATTCAAGTAATAATTCTTTCATTTCTGTCAATACTACAAATACATTAAGGAACCAACCCTCTTTAGATCCATCAATAATGGAAAATAAAGGATTATTCAAGAAATCTTCCAGGGCTTCAGTGATTTCAAGAGATACGATTGTATCTAATATTCCGGATGATAATCTATCTATAACATCATTTACTAATGAAATGATGAACTTTGATATTTGTGCAGAAACACCACAGCTTCAACGGTTGGATGATTTTGATGTGGATGATTATCAAGACCAATATGATTTGGCATTAGAGCTTGATGGTTCTCCATATCTAAAAGAAGGATTACTTAAATTGAAGATTATCAATGATGATCAGGATAACAATCTGGAGTTTGATCGTAAAAGTACATCTAATGAATCAAGGTTTCTTTCTTTCTTCAGATCAAGTACTTATACAAATTCATCAGTATCAAGTAATGCGTCAGCTGCATCAGCAGCATACGCCGAACACTTTGTGGTGGTTTCTAAAGGTGAATTATCGTTGTATTCGTTCGATCCTAGGGTTATAAAGAAGCATCAACAAAAGTTAAAGAAGTTGAAAATACCGGCTGATAGCGATGATAACGATTCTTCGGAAGTGGGTGATGGTAATTGGTTAAAGAATGCGGCTAAACTTGGCACATATAACTTGTGTTCAACATATGCTCAATTTGAAAGGCATTCAAGTGGAATGTTACTTTCAACATCTGCGAAAAAGAAAAGCATCTTATGGTCATTATCTTTTCCGAGAGTCTCGCATAAACAGCCCAAGAAATTTGTGTTTGAAGCAGGAACTAAAGAAATAGCTCTTGAATTTATTAATACATGTAATTTCTGGGCATCGAAGATCACGGCAATTCCTACTAACGAAGAAAGTGTTTCCTCAATTGAATATGGCTGGAACAATATAGATAAATTAATTGGCAGGAAAGATGAGTTCAAAAAAATGAAAAATATTCAAAGATGGGAACCTCTACCAAAAGGTGTTTACTTGAGTAATTATGTGGAGAATTCTGAAATTGATAATGAGGCAAGGAATTTTGGCATGATGAAGCAATTCGTGAAAACAGTCAATTACTATAATAATTTAAGGAAGATTTACCAGGAGTTTAATCAGTTAAAATTGAAATTCATTTCTAATTTTAAATCTAAACCTTTAACCAATACTTCTAATTATAATAGAATAATGGCCAATTATGAAAATAAGTCAAATGATTATCTTCTGGAATTAAGAAAATATAAGAATTATTTAATAATGCTAGGCTTTGGATTGCAATTAAGATTTGATTTGCAGGATGATGAACTCAACGACCACCGTGATGAATTCGCCAATGATGAATTGGAGCAAGATGTAACGAATGTGGAAGAGGATGATAAATTGAAACGGTCAGTCAAAATTGAAATTTACAAGTTATTCACAAATTTGAAAGCGGTCGAAAAGATAATTCCAAACTACCATGCGAGTAAATCTATCAATTCTATTGTTGACTCCAAAAATGGTAGAGGGCCCTATCCCGATGAGCCATTTCCTTTGGTAAAATCGCCAAAAACCTTTACCTTATCTAATTATAATAGTCATGAAAGCCCGATCGCACAATTATTGCAAACTCCGCAGCAAGTACAATTAGGTCTGGAAATACCACACAGTTACAGTACTCGTACTATCAAGGAAGAAGAAGAGCTGGAGTCCTGAACCTGTTCTTCCTGATACTCAATCATATTTGAAGTTGAATTAAATATTTATATTTAAGGGCCTTCGCAGCTACGAATATGCTGGAAATAATTGATGTACATTTATTCTATAATTCTCCAAAAGACTTCTTTTGTTTGTCTACATTACCTATTGTGATAAAGTATGTTTACATACGGTCACATCTTTCAATTCGTTTTTAATTTGTATTTTTAATCTATATATGTATAAGAACAATTTATATTTCAACAAAATGAAGTTAGTGAAAATATGAACAATTGCACGACCTTCTGATTGTAGACCGCCACCAAATAAATGAATGGCAAACACTAGTTAGAAATGATAGACTCTATTAAATATAATTCGATATTGTTTAATTGACTAATATATTTTTGATAACACATAGTTAAGTGGAATTATCAATAACGTCCTAAACTAATTTTTCAATTGAGTGTTGATTTAGAAGATTTACACGGTTTATTCATATATTAATACAGATTTAAAATGTCGGATCCAAGTTCAATCAATGGTATGTATTTAATGGAATACGTTGACTCACGTACTATATTTTCGTGGTATATCAAGGGAAGATAGTTTCTTGAATTAAAAAAAAAAATTAATGGACTTGAAATATTAACATAATAGGTGGTTCTGCCGTGGCGATGGTCGGTAAAGATTGTATAGCAATAGCCTGTGATTTACGTTTAGGAAATCAGTCATTAGGGTTATCGAATAACTTTGAAAAGATTTTCCAACTTGGAGATAAAACATTTTTAGGATTGACAGGGTTGGCAACAGATGTAATTACATTATCAGAAACATTTAGATTCAAGAACAATTTATATAAGTTAAGAGAAGAAAGAGAAATTGAGCCAACGACATTGGCAAACTTGGTCAGTTCTACATTATACGAAAAGAGATTCGGGCCTTATTTTGTTGGTCCAATAGTAGCAGGATTGGATTCGAAGACCAACAAACCATTTATCTGTGGATTTGATTTGATCGGATGTATTGATTTTGCTAAGGATTTCATAGTCAGTGGGACTGCATCTGATCAATTATATGGTATGTGTGAATCGTTGTATGAGCCAAATTTGGAACCAGAAGATTTATTTGAAACTATCAGTCAGTCCTTATTAAATGCAGTCGACAGAGATGCTTTGTCTGGTTGGGGTGCCGTTGTTTATATTGTTACCAAAGATAATGTTACTAAGAGAGTTTTGAAAACTCGTCAAGATTAATATAGTGCATTTAGTGAATACAGATTAGAATCATTGAACACTTGTTTCAATATTGTAGTTTTTATTTAACATATTTATTACTGGTATCTGCCCGAAACCTGACGTCTTAGAGTACTACCGAATGATAGATTTATATTTACAAATTAATTTCCTAGCTCCTAGTTCCTAGTTCCTATTTACTGCTTGCCTCTGCTTTCAGCCTCCTTTTCGATAATACGCTTTAAGTAGTTATTCTTTCCGTATAATTCTTCTTCGCTTTCTTTTCTTCTCTGTTCGAATTTCTTCTGCTTCTCTTTTGATTGTCTAATTCTGTCATTTGCATCGTTAACTCTCGTATAGTGCAAACACTTAGTCAATTCTTCCTTCTCAAAGTTACACATTCCTAGAGCCTTCTTCAAGAATTCTTGTCTGTGACATTCTTCTAATGCATCCATTAGCTTCTCACAAGGATCAAATCTATTTCTATCTAACTGTGGATGCATATTTAAGTTGGTCTAATTCACTTAAAGTATCAATTAATTCACAAATTATTTTTTTTTTTTCTGAGAATTATATAGTGACGTTGAGAAAATCACTAACTTAACCAATTGTCCTTATAAACATACGATAAAAAATACCAAGCAATGCCACCAAAAGCTAAGACTAATGATACAGATGATGTATTAGACTTTATTAATTCATTGCCTGATTCTAAATCAGGTACTCCTAAGCCGAAAGAAACCAGTAATAATGATGTAAATGATAAGGATGAAGACTTCCTCGAATTCTTGGATGAATTGGCAGCACATGAAAAATCCAAGCCTTCTACTCCAAAACCAAACAGTAAATTTGAGCCAAAGAAGAAAGGGGAATTGAGTGAAAAAGAATCAAAATCACAACCAAAAGAGGAAAAGGAGAAAAAGGAATTGCCAGACCAAAAGGAGCTGACAGAAGGTTCTGGTGAGGTAACAAAAGGTGAATCGGAGCCAAACAAAGAGAATGCAAAAAGCGATGCAGAACGGGATACGACAGAGGAAATTGATGCTATCGGATCAATTTCAACATGGTGGAACAACGAAGGTTCAAATAAAGTTTCATCATTATGGGGATCAATTACATCAAATGCTCAAAGTCTAAGCGAACAAACATATCAATTAGCATCAACAACCTCTAACCAAATAAGTCAACAGAGACAAAGGTTAATTGAAAATTCTGATCATGAACAGATAGTAAATATCAGCTCAAAATTGAATTCAATGTTGTTAAACATGTCGCAGCAAATTACTCAGGGTCTTATGTCTGACACTGATGAATTGTTGAATATATTATTAATTTATGACTTATATAATATAAACTATTTGGATAGATTATGCTATGATAAATTCAACCAAGTCATGAATCAAGTTGAAGGTGGAATTAATGTCAGTGTCAATAACTTCAATCATAAGGATGAATTGAATAAAGACAGAATTGATTTGAATCTTTTTTATGGTAAGATAATTGACGGGGAAAAGTTGTGCTTAGCAAACTTAGAAAGTTCTATCAAGGATTACTTAAAGATTACCAAGTTATCTGAAGAAGGAGACAAAAATATCTCTGGACTGGGTCAGGATGAAAAGGGCGAAGATAAAGATGAAAATGGAAAACATGATACTAAAAATGAAGAAGAAAATAAAGAAAATAAAGAAGAGATTGATAAAATCAATAAGTCGAACATATTTATTTCAATTCAACCAATAACCAGTAAAAGTTATCAGGATGAGACTAAGTCTACTGATGATGGAGAAGAACAAGGTCCAATATTAATTGAATCCAATAATTCTGACTCATTTTCGTTCACGGTCATTTTGAAAGATATTACAAACAATATAACTATCATCACAAAAACGCAGCCTTTCCCATTAAAGTGGGCGAAATGGTTAAGTGGCGAACTGTCTCAAGAATTTAAAGAATTTGATGATATCGACCCGAGCGAATGGGTCAAGAATTGGATCAAAGATGGGTTGTCTTTGAGTTTTGGTATCTTAGCTCAAGAATATGTTATCAAAAGAATGGGCTTCTAAATGCAATCATGAGACATCAACATATGTAGTTATCTGCGCAAATCGAGCAATATTTAAATTATTCAATAGTTAATAAAGTGCTATGCCAGTACCTTGTAATTCTCTAAGAATCTCTGGAAGGTGAAGATTAATTAATTGCCACAGTATAATATTTTGAATCTAGACATGTCAAAAATTACGGATAGTCGCAAAAATATGAATAAATCACAAAAGCCATCGTGTAACACTTATCAAGCAATTAGTAGATCAATGTACATTAATATATAATGAATAATTGTTGCTTATAATATACTATTGTTGTTCAAATATACCATTTGTTCTTCTGTCATACTTTGTTCTGACCTTTATCAATTTCGGAACTAGCTGCAAAATCGCAACGCACTCTACAAAGTTTTATTATATTAGTATTAAGTATTATATTAGTATTAAGTATTAAGTAAAGAAGTCTCAGCCGTATTATTCTATCATTATTCTATTAGGTTGCTAAAACAAATCTGCAAATTCCGCAACGTGTGGGTGTATTATATCGTTACGGTTGTATCTGGAGTTGGTGCGTCTAGGAGAGCCTTGAGTCGCATACCCTGCATTATTATCGGTGTGATTATTGTCACCACTTGAAGGAGTCTCTTTCTTCATTGCTTCGGCCACCACCGAAGAATCTTCGTGCAAGACATTTTTGTGGGAGTCCTGGATTCCACACGCCAAGTAGTTGGCCATGATGCGATCCAAGCCCTTGTCATCTCCAGCAATCAAGTTGTTGGACCAGTCAATGATCAATGGAGCCTTAAAAAAGCTCTTTTGTGCTGCCAACTCATTGTATTCGTCTTGCAGTAACACCAGTAAGTCGTTGATGAAGCGTTTCTGCTTGTTGTGTTTGGTAGCGTTCAGGTTACACAATGTGATATTTTGCAGTTCAAACAAAAGTGGAAACTTCTTTTCAAAACTGGTGCAATTGTCGGGGTGTATGTCGGTGCAGTGTTCGTGGATAAAGTAGTAGTCTTGGTACGATGGCGTCTCATTCATCTTCAACTCCAAATTGAACTTGTTCGACATGATTCCTGCTGGCGATATGTTTTGACCATGGGCACCTGCTTTTTGGAACCACCCGGCACCATTAGCCCTATGAAATGTATTTGGCAACTGACTGTATCCCGTCAACTTGCCCAACAAGTGATGTGACAACTTTGAGTTTGTGTCGTGGAATATGGTTATGGTGTTGGTCTTAACATTGCTGGTATTGGCTAAGCGTAAGAACGATCTGAACATTATCAAGGTAATTATGTATTATCAATCGTTTTTTCTGTAATTTGGAACACTAATATGTAAATTGTGACACTAAATTATGTTATTGCTCAATTATAGATAGTCAACTCAGTAGTTAATAGTCAATTAATGCTATTATACGCGTTTGATTGTTTTATACACCGATCTGTTGCTGGGTGCTGTTTTTCAACCTAAGTATTATGTCTTAATAATATATCTTAATCTATAACAAATTCCCGTTACCTAAATGTATCTTTTTTTATTATCTTATTATGAAACTGATACATTTGCCTGATATAAATAGTGGTTCGTATAGAAGAGGGGAGATTTTTTGATTGCGAAATATAGGCGGAAAATTTATGTTGAACAAAATAGCCTCTTTGTGGATGCTCAATTTGTGAGTCGATTATGAATCGATTTGGCTAGGAATAGAGGAGACGCAAAAGTCGCGCCCATGGCAGTGGCTAATATCTCACTAATTTACCCCCCCGATGAGCTCAAAATTGGGCGACAAAAATTAATCCGTTGGCCTATTCGCAATTTCTCCGCTCTGCGACTTGACAGCCCCTACAAAAAAGGTCGCCTTTTGTGTCTGTTTACAGCCTCAATATAAATATAGGTTGACTCCTCACTTAAACGACCAGCACAAAAACTAGGAGAAGGGGAAAGGAGGAAGGTAGTGATTAGGGGAAAGTAGGGGAAGTCGATTGCGATTAGTAAAACAGTATAAGAGTAGGGGTAGAGTATGCGTAGCATATGGTAGCATGAGGGTAGACATGAGAAAATGAGGTAAAAGCGTATCTAGAAGCGTGGCATGTGTAAAGATTTCCTAACGTGGAAGATGTAGATTTACTATATGCATTAGGTCGTACAGTGCTATTGTTTGCTAGAATTTTCTCTATATATTTCACGTTTATCTATTTGTAGCATAGAAGGTTCTGCGAAAGTTCTTTCTGCGACAGCGCTTGTGCTAGTGTTGTAGATTATAATAGCGGAGAACATGGGTTCTTGGAGGCTATACTACGACCACAAAGAGTTAATTACAGTACCACGATTAGATAGTTACGTGGACAACAAACATGGCCGTTATCAGTAAAATGATTTTATAATTGCTAGCAATGCGAGCCATGCTAGGTGTTATCAATGAAGGCTTAAAGGATGTGATGGTTATGTTATGCGAATTAATCCGAACGAAGGAAAGCGAGGTAAGGGCGGCCAACGGCCACGAGGGGAACTATTCAGTGAGGAGCAAGGGCCGAGTCGAGTCGTGGGAGGCCTAGACCAACGGTATTTTGGCAGGTTGGGTAGAATTTTGGTGGGCGGTGGGGGCAGGGGAGGCTACGGATCTATTACCTGATGGAATATGAATACATGTATAGGGACTGGAATATGGATTAGGGGAAGGTAGGGGGTATTGATTCATTTATTGGCTCAGGAGTCGGCGCCTGATGGGCTATACAAAAAATGAAGACCCGAACATGGTGTATACGTCTGCTACATGGTGTGTATATCGATCGAATGAACGGCCGATGTGGTTGATGTATGGAAGCATCGGAGACGGACATGTCATAGGGGCTCAAGGCCATCAATTAGAAAACGTTGATAAGCGGTTGCGGAATGCACCGCCGTTTAATTATGGCTCGCCATGGATCTGGACGTGGGAACATGGCCTAGTGCACAGCATACGCCACAAAAAACGGCTACTTCCCGTTTGACGACAACTACAAATACGACTCGTGTGTTGGACCCGTAGTGCTTGGTGCATCGCTCTCACTCCTATAACATTTTATGACGCAACTTTTAGCATCCGCGGTTCATACAAAAGAGTCACCTATCTCTTGGGCACTCATATCTCCGACTAGTATAGCTTAATAGCCAAAGTACACTTTTCATCTCTTAAATAACAGCACTCACACATGATTATACACGAGCGGGCTTGATAACCATTGACTGGTGGATATCGGTCGCGTGACCTAAAGTTGTGGCTGGAACCCATGTAATGACTTCCATATTAGAATATGCTACTGCTATAGACCATTCAGTTGCCCGTTTTATTACCATATACATCTATACTTCGTATCCAAACACATCCGGTCTTCTATGGGTCATCAATGGCATATCTCTTCTAGTCTTTTCTACCATATCTAAGTCGAGATCGGCCACACACATTTCATAGTAATCGCCGTCGGCATCCACGACCAAATCGTCGTTATATTTGTGGCATTCACTTATCTTATTGCCCCAAGGATCAATGATAATCGAGTTGCCGTAGCTGATCCTTTTTTTGTCGCCCCCCGTGTTGTGTTCACCGCATTGCGCAGCCAATATCACGTAGCATTGGGTATCTACTGCTCTCGCCCTACCCAATAGCTCCCAATGGGCCTGGCCCGTCTTGGTGGTGAACGCAGACGGATACGTAATAATGTTAGCCCCTAAACGTCTCAAGCGCAAGCCCAATTCAGGGAACCTAATATCGTAACATGTGGCAAACCCTACTAGGAACTCTGATAAGCTTGAGGTGTTGATTGGAAATGGATTCAAAATACTACTTCCAGGTTCCACCGAATTTGACTCTTTCAAAATGGGCCCATTTTCAATATTGATGTCGAAAAGATGCAATTTTTGGTATCTGTGTAATATTTCGCCCCTGCTATCAATCCAAAGTTGATTATTCAGCACCTTCTTCAAATTCTCCTTAGCATTGACCCCTATACTGCCTGACAGTTCATGGACTCCCACCGCAACAAAGAGTCCGTCACCATTATCAGCATATACTTCCTTCAATTCCTTCTGTATAACCGAGATAAACTTTTCGTGGCTCGTCTGTGCTAATTGCATCGATTGGGTAGCATCTCTGGCTATGTAATCGGTGGCTTCAGGTAAGAACAATACCTTTGCCTTAGCCGTCACTGCCTTGCGGATCAACTTTTTAACGACGTTTGCATTAGACAGCAAACTGGATGACGAGCATAACTGCCCACATGCAACTCTAACCGTATTTGACATCACTTGGTGCTATTATTTTGCAAATTATCATTTCCTCCACCTGAAAAAACCGTAATTGATAAGGTAATTTTCAATATTTATGGCCCTCGTGCGTGTACCACCTTTCATCCGTGGAATTTTCGCAATCGTCACTCCCCTGTGGTAGCCTTTCCGTTCATCCTTTTTATCTACGTCTAGTCTAGCTTCGATATCATGATTCATAAATAAAATTATACACAGAAATAAATATGATTAAATAAATTCACTGAGCTTATGCCTTGTTCACTGGACCAGCAGTGTGAATTTCCTCGGAAGAAAACACAGTAGGCTCAAACGATTCAAAGTCTGGTGTAGAATCTAATTCCTCATGAACAGCACTCGTGAATACAGCATCGTTGGCAATCAAGTTGCTTTCATGTAAGTTGTTGAAGTTAATGCATCTTTGTTTGGAAGAGAAAAATCTCAAGTTGCTAGCACCAGAATTGATTTGTTTTATTGGTATCCAACACCTGGATGCGGTCTTGTAGGACGAAATGTTTAAAAATTGTCTAGCGGACATTATAATTGGTATAAGCTTCTTGGAATTGGTTAATTGATGTAGAATGATTCTGTAAAGTGACTATTTTTTTAGAGGGTTGGACTAATATTTATACTTTTCTGGAACTGTTACCCCGGACCCGGCTGTCCGGAGTTATCAGCTTGAGTCACCATAAAAAAAAATTCCCTGAATCATCGGAGCTGCGGGCGATTGTGAAAAATTGCGTATGTCCAGGCCTAAGCATTTTCCTCGGTATTTCTGAGTCGCTGATTGCACTGATTACGGATTCTTATTGTGCAGTACCTGAGTCATGTCACTCAATCAACACAAATCCACTGGCCCGCAATCGTTCGGGCAAGCGCAATGGCCGGCTAATCGTTGCTCCAACAGCCTATACATCTACAACCAGACGTACTGCCACGGACCACGATGTGGTCTTTAGAGATGCAATGTTATTACCGGGAAGTATACAGCCGCGTTGGTAATTCCTTGCCATTCCTGGACCTCTAGCGGATCGACTGATGAAATTGACTAATCCCCCACCAAAAACCCGGCACCCACCAACTCTGATAGATATGACAAATATATGTATACGATCTGCGCTGAATGATTCAAGACTCACTTCAGAGTGCACAATTCCTCAAACCTCGGCGGTTCTGCAGACAATAGTTTTTAGGACCGCCGGACCACACCCAACGCGGACCCTCACTCCGTGGAATAAGAATGCGTGGAAGACAATTGACGAGGATGACCGTGCTCGTGATGAAGAATATGATCACAAAAATGGCCGACGGAATAAAGTGGAAATGAACGCAAACTGATAGACGGTCGTGGAAGAACCTGAAAGCGCGCAATCTTCCGGATGACCGAGCTATGCTAATCCTTCCATTGTAATTATGAGAACACAGGACATTAATCTGGGGATAACATTGAAAAGTAACCAGAATAACACTCCAAAGTCCTTAAATTAGTAGTTTGCTTATCCGAGACGTATTATACTAACCGATACAACATAATATGGGAACCGGATGGGAATTAACTAAAGCGTTGCGAGAGCAGATCGTGAAATACGCTGGATACCAGCAGACATCTATCTCGTTGAGACAGATGGTGCAATTTGGGCCTACTCCGTCGCCAGGATCGGTTTTTTTGGCGTCACAGTTTATTGTGGAAGAATTGCCGATAAGATTAGCTATAAAGGTGAAGAACTTAGAAAATGCACCGCATGGGTTGAATAAGATGCCATCAACGATGAAGGTGAGGGACTGGTATGCCCAGTCATTCCAGGAATTGACCGAATTACCCAAACCACAGATATCGAGCGAATTGGCGGAAATGTTGAATAGTCATCAGGTAGACAAGACGCTGCACCAGGTGAACGAGGCCACGACGATGTCTCCCATCTTGCAAGAGGACATGAAGAGTGTAGAAGAAACGCATAATCCTGCGAACAGCGAGTCGAAGAATGTTGCTATCAACAATATTTTCAGCGACGATGGCATTGTTGTCCGCACATCATCGGCACATTCACATATGCTGTCGCCAGAACAGACCAAGAACTCGAAGGGTAGAAGCGAGTCGCCTACGTTTGGCAAAACGTACTATACATCATGTCCTGCCAACGTGGTTTGGCCCAAAGAAGTGTACGATTACAACAAGCTGGTGAGCGATGCGTTGAGCAAGATCAAGAAGAGGCACGATGCGACGGTAGCCACTATGGCTCAAGGGGTACAAGAGTGGAAGAACGAACATAAGACAGTCATTGTCAACTCACAGATCCAGACATTTTTGGACAGGTTCTACATGTCTAGAATTGGGATCAGAATGTTAATTGGACAGCATATTGCATTAAATTCATCGCAGTCTTCGCCAACCAAGGCTAAGATCAACTCATTCTTGAACGGCCAGAATGGTGGTTCTAGTAAGAGATCCAACTATGTGGGGGTTATTTGTACCGATTGCAATGTGGGAGAGATTGCCGAGGATGCCATCGAAACGGCCAAATATATTTGTGAAGAATACTATGGGTTATTTGAAGCACCAGAGATACAGTTGATTGCTCCAAAGAATGACATTAGCTTCATGTATGTCCCAGGCCATTTGATTCATATGTTATTCGAAACTTTGAAAAACTCATTGAGAGCAACCATCGAATTCCACACTTCCAGATTGAAAGAGAAGATGTGCCAGGAGGACCCCGACTTGCTGTTTGATGACGTGGACATAAATGATTTGAAGTTTCCTCCTATAAAGGTAATTATTTCCGAAGGTTACGAAGATATCGCTATCAAGATCAGTGACGAAGGTGGTGGTATTCCCAGAAGTGAAGTTCCATTGATTTGGACATATTTATACACTACAGTCAGCCAAACCCCTACATTGGAACCTGAATACAACCAAAGCTCATTCAAGGCGCCCATGGCTGGGTTCGGATATGGTTTGCCAATATCAAGATTGTATTCGCAATACTTTGGTGGGGACTTGAAATTGATCTCCATGGAAGGTTATGGTACTGACGTTTACTTACATTTGAATAGATTGAGTAGTTCTTCTGAACCTTTACCATAGGTTTATAAACTTTTTTTACATGTATATTTGTTAACGACTATTACGAACCAAAATTAACCGAGGCTCGCTATTCGAATATTTTTACCTGTAAAACAAAGAATTCTTCTTGAAACTATACATTATCTACATAGAACGATAGCCACAGATCTGGACATGCTTGACATCATTCTTGAAGCATAATATCGCTCTCTGGTTCCACCTATGACTCTTTTCCTCTATCGGAACACATCTTGATTAGAACCACCAGAAAGAAAAATCAACTCCACATCACGTGCTAACCCGCCGTCATACAAAATTCATCAAATATCCCGGTACAAGAACCCACATATATAATAAAGAGATAGGCCATTTAAGTTAATATCAGAGTTAACATGTCAGCTCCTAGAACAAAACCCTGGGAAGTATCTTCTGGTACTTCGACAGCTACAGCAACTGGAGATAATATGAATAGCATAAATGGAGGTGCGGCAACAACGAACTCGATAGGCGATAGTTCATCCACTCAAGCTCAAGTACCTGATCGGCCTACTTCTTTAGCATCAGATTTGTCATCTATGTCCAATACATCTCCATATGGTAGTACCGGATATGGATCTACGACAGGATCGAGATATGGCGGAGGCTACGGGTCGTCCATGTACGGCGGTGGATTGGGGTCTTCTATGTATGGTGATGGATATGGATCTTCGATGTATGGTAGTGGAGGATTAGGATCATCGATGTATGGAGGTGGATATGGATCATCGATGTATGGTATGGGAGGTATGGGAGGCATGGGAGGTATGGGAGGATATGGTATGGGAGGTATGGGAGGATATGGTGGTGGAATGTATGGACAACAACGCCCAGGAATGGGAGGAGGATTAGCCGAAGGTACACAGGCAACATTCCAGCTTATTGAGTCGGTTATTGGTGCAGTGGGGGGATTTGCACAAATGTTAGAAGCTACGTATATGGCGACTCATTCATCATTCTTCACCATGATTTCCGTTGCAGAACAATTTGGTAATTTAAAGAATGCATTAGGTTCCTTATTGGGTATATTTGCCGTGATAAAGTTTGCTAAAAAAATATTCTACAAGATCACCGGTAGGACTTATAATCATGGAATTAGTGCAAAGGAATTTGCCAAGTTCGAAAAGGGCCAAAAGAAGTTGGAAGAGAACATGAGAAAGCAACAAAGTGGTAAAGCCCCAAGGATTTCATTCAAGCCATTATTATTATTTTTAGCTGCATCGATTGGTTTCCCATATTTATTAAGTAAGGCTATTCAAAAGATTGCCGAACAACAACAGCGTAAGCAGCAAATGCTCGGGGCACAAGGTGATGTACCTGGTGCTGTGAACCCATCAAACTTACAATTCGCCAAAGCATTGTATGAATTCAACCCAGAAAACCCAAACATAGAAATCGAATTGAAGCCAAATGAATTAGTGGCGATTTTATCCAAATTGGATCCAATGGGCAATGAAAGCAAATGGTGGAAAGTGAGATCTAGACAGGGCAAAGTGGGATACGTTCCGCTGAACTATCTAGGTGTGATCGAAAGAAAAGTACAGCAAATCGAACCAGCGAACCAACCCCCAAACCAATTCCCAAACCAAAATCCAAACTTAACCCAAGTACCTGTCCCCGGACAACCTGCTGGTAACCAACAGCACGACAAGCAATTTAATGAAAAATTATCAGTTGACGAATTCAAAAGCTTTCAAAGTTAACTAATTCTCCAAAAGTGCATCTGATATATATTTAGTTCTACATTTATGTAATTTTAGTCCTAGTTATTTTAAAAAATATCTTATTTATTATTCAGTTTGTATCAAAGATCACTTCAGATACTCGTACTTTCTCACTTCCTAAACATTTACACTTATCAATTGTTTTCTTATTTATATATTATAATATATACTATTAGTATTGGTTGATACTAAATTATACAGCATCGTCTGGACGGTTTTGTTCACTCTCAGCCTTGCTACCTTTATCTTGTAAACTATCGTATCCCTTAGTATTTTTCGAGACACGGAGTTTTTCCTCAGCTTGCTGCTGCTTCTTCTTAATACCATCTGCCATTTCACCATCCACTTTTTCTGCTTCTGCACCTATATTGCTGGGAGTGGCCTTTTGAGTCTTATCGATACCTTCAGCAAGCACTTCACCGGTCTTTTTATTGACCTTATGTGCTGCATCACCAACACCGTGTGGAGTGACCTTTTGTGTCTTATCGATACCTTCTGCGAGCACTTCACCAGTCTTCTTATTAACCTTTTTTGCTACATTTCCAACACTGTCTGGAGCATGTTGTGTCTTTTCAATACCTTCAGCAGCAACTTCGCCTATTTTCTTGTTGGCCTTATGCAAGACTTCCTTAGCACTACCAATGATGGAATATCTAGCTGGAGTAGTACTAATGTATCTGGTAGCTGGTACAAGACCAGCTCTTAAAGCAGTTGTTTGACGGAATGCTAATTGACGAATCATATTTAATGCGATTGTTTTTATTGTATTGAATTTAAGTAAAGGAATGTATTCAGCAGCATATCCACCCATTTATATATAGACTACTGATAGCAATAGTTGCGGCAATTGTGACTACATACTTAAGGGGCTTCGCACGTGATAACGGGAGTAGCAAGTGCTATAGAGTAAGGTTTTGGTAAGCATGTTAGTACTACTAGCCGATGGTTTTTTCGGTTGGGGGTTTAAGCTGTGGCTACTTGACACGGATAGACACATCCTGCTATGGATATGGACCACGAATGGAGACGTAGGCATATATGGATGGAGGGATTGTCAGACTTGAAAGTAGCGTACAGGGTGAAGTGGAAGGGAGTTGATGCTGGTGTATCAGTAGATGCAGTACATATGATGTAACCAGTCGAAGGTGAAAGAATAATATCGAACTTGTAGCAAGACAAAATCACATCGCATCATGCTTAGCGACCGTTGAACTGATCGCGATTATTGATGGTAAAACCGGTGAAGTCTGAGCACCCGAAGGATTTTGTGATGGTGAAGCTTTATTAAACCCTGTGCAATAAACGGGTCAATTTCAACATAGAATACTCAATTGTAAGAATTGCCATGAAATTGAAAGTTATTGGCCTCATCGCATGTAATAACATCCAATGGAGTTAATGTCTCTACAGTCCTCTACAACATTCACTGTTCATAGCATTCATGTATTCAGTTACTTCATAACACTATATAAAACCGATTGCTGCAATTGTGTCGGGCCTCTAGAGCCAGATCATGACGAATCGTCAGGACGAGCCTGCTCGGCCTCTACTTTGCTACCTTTATCCACTAAACTCTTATACCCTCTCCAATTTTCGTGGACGCGTTTCTGCTGCAACGACTCTTCGGCCTTGCTACCACCTGCTAATACCTTACCGGTCCTTTTACCCTTGGGAGTCCCAGCAGATCCACGGATATTTGAGGGCATAGACTTGGACCTAACTGCTGTTGTTCCCATCATTCTCCACGCAGGACGAACTGACGCCTTCATTGAACTTAATTGACATATTCCTAAGCGACTAAGCATTTTTGAAATTTGGTTTACTGTATACTCGATAGAGATGATGTATTTTGGCCTACACTGAATCACCTCTTTATTTATACGGTCTCCCTTACCTATTGTGGCGTGAGCAATTTGGTTTTCTCCACATGAGATATTTAGAGTTCATTAAGCTACCATGTATTGCTTTTTGGCAATAACCGCATAATTCACTTCTTTGGTCATGCTACCATTCTCGAGCACCAGACCTCCCATACAAGAAATTAATGGCTATTGCATTGATTAACACGGATATAATTTTTACGAGTGTAGAATCTGATCTATGATCGAGCCTAGATCTAGATACATACACTTATTACTAATGATAACACCACGAGTTTTCGTTAAGAGGATGGTTTGCTAGTGGGTTAGAGTTAATAATGGCTAATTCGGCACATATATAGAGCTATTTCTTTTTTTTTTTGAGAAAGGTCCTCTCTTGATCAACATTCTACAACAACCTATCCGAAGTCCCTTTTATGTAATAGACGTAGACTGAGACATCAGTCTAACACGACATCGTGGTACCGCCATTTTGCAATCTTATATAAGCATCAAGAAATTTTTTTTCAACGCGATAATGGAATTGGCGATAAATGCACACCTTCATATTGGTAAATATGAACTAAAAAGGTGTTCTTTTCAATAAAATAGTCATACAGCAGTCATATTCCAGAATGATTTCCAATCGTAACGTTCGTGTGATTGTGTCTGTATTTGCAATCTTTGCAGTGATTATATTTTTTGCTACGTCGCAGAGTTCATTTGGTAATTCAGTTCAAAGAGTCAATACACCTAGTAATGGAGATGCTATTTTCCAGCATGAACAAGAGTCAAATACTCTACAAGGAAAGCCATATGAGGGCAAACAGCCACCATACTCACAGGAGGACAAAAAGGTGCCGGGTAAACAAGAAAGTGGTGGAAAAGATAGTAAGATTATTGCTGATAAGAGCGCCGGCGAGAAATCAAACCAGAACAAAATCGGCGATAATGACAACAAAAATGCGGCCGATAAAGGTATAGACAAGGGTACTAGTGGAGGAAGTGCAGATACTTGTAATCAAGTTGATTATGTGGTGATGATCGACGCAGGATCAACGGGATCGCGTGTCCATGTGTACGAATTCGACACCTGTAAATCACCACCGGTATTGTTGAGTGAGAAATTCGAGATGTTGAAGCCAGGGTTATCGCAATTCGATACTGATACTAAGGGTGCGGCTGCTTCGTTGGACCCATTGTTGAAAATAGCCATGGATACGGTTCCAAAGGCCAAGCAAGGTTGTACACCAGTTGCAGTTAAGGCCACGGCTGGGTTGAGATTGTTGGGAGAAGAAAAGTCGAAGAATACTTTGGCAGAAGTCAGACGTCACTTGGAAGAAGATTATCCATTTGCTGTTGTCCAAGACGAAGGAGTTTCTATCATGGACGGTAAAGACGAAGGAGTATATGCCTGGATTACCACCAATTACTTATTGGGTAATATTGGAAGTTCTGAGAAGCTTCCAACTGCTGCCGTGTTCGATTTGGGGGGTGGATCTACCCAAATTGTATTTGAGCCAGAATTCGGCAACAATGAACAAATGGTTGACGGCGAATACAAGTACCAATTTACCTTTGGTGACAGAGAGTTCACCTTATACCAGTTCTCACATTTAGGATTCGGTTTGATGCAAGGAAGAAATAAGATTAACGGGTTAGTGGTTGAATCAAAGTTGAAGGATAACAAAGAATTAGCCAATGCTAAGTTTAGTTCAGAAAAAGCCATGAAGGATGCCAAGGCCACGGTGACTATCACCAACCCATGTATTGCTCCTGGTGTAACTGCCGAAAACGTTCAAGTTAAAATGGGTGAGGAAGAGTTTTATCTTGTCAACATGAAGGGTCCATCGGTGGCTGCGGGTGCCCAATGTCGTTTCCTTGCTGAAAAAGTGTTGAACAAGGACGCGGAATGTACTACCAAGCCATGCTCATTTAATGGTGTCCATCAACCATCGTTGACCAAGACCTTCAGAAAGTCGTCTGACATGTACGTTTTCTCATACTTCTACGACAGAACCAACCCGTTAGGCTTCCCATCGTCTTTCACAGTTGAAGAATTATCTGAATTGGCCAAGGTCGTATGTAAGGGTGACGAACTCTGGAAAGATGTATTATTAGATGACCACGTCAAGGAATTAAACGAAGAACCTCACTGGTGTTTAGATTTATCCTTCATTACTGCCATGTTGCACACCGGTTATGATATCCCATTCCACAGAGAATTAAGAACTGCAGAGAAGATAGACAACAATGAATTAGGCTGGTGCTTAGGTGCTTCATTACCTTTATTAGATAAGACTAATTCAAAATGGAAATGTAGAGTTGAGCAAGTTAATTAATTTTAACCTCTGAATATTTTTAAATATTATATATAAGTATAAACCCGGCTCTTTCCAACATAGGAGAGCTAATAGATAACACATTAGCTAATAAGAGATCTGATTGTAGTCATAAAATATGGAAATGTAAATCTCCGGATTTTTTTCTCTCCGAGCTCGCTACTAATCTTTTTCGTAGCCTTCAGCATTCTATCCGTTAAATAATAAATATAATTCATAGTTTCTAATATCGACTTTAAATAGACAATTTTAAATACATTCGACTGCTAGGAGACCCTATTACCGCTGAATATGTCAAAGTATGGTTTAGAATCACACCCAAGTCAATTAACTCAGGGATTACGGAGAAATAGATCACACAGGAAGTCACTTGGCCAAAACAAGCTAAGTAAGAGCCCATGGGAAGAAGAGAATGATGCATTGAATAGAGAAGCTCCTATGATACACAACAAGTTGTATTGTGACCAAGTCAAGAAAAATGTGAAATTGAGGCAAGTATCGTCTAGTGTGCTTCTGAAGTTAGGTACGGATGATTTGCGTTCCGTTAAATCACACACAGAATTGGCAGAAACAGCTAACGGAGTTCGTATGTTAGCAAAAAACTTGGCGAAGGCTACAATTCAGTTGGAAGTCAAGGCAATAATGATAGTGACGAAGGCAAGAGACAATTCATTAATTTATTTAACCAGAGAGATAGTGGACTATTTATTAGCGAAAAACAAAGAGATTACAGTATACGTGGATCGTAATTTACAGAAGCTGAAACGATTCAACGCAGTTAATTTGTATGAAACCGTTCCAAAGGCCAAAAAGTACGTCAAGTACTGGGACAAGAAGTTTGCACTCCAGAACCCGCAAAAATTCGACTTGGTGGTTACATTAGGTGGAGACGGAACAGTGTTGTATGTATCGAACCTATTCCAGCGAGTGGTGCCACCAGTCATATCGTTTGCGCTTGGTTCGTTGGGGTTTTTGACAAACTTCAAATTTGAACAGTTCAGAGAGAGAATGTCCAACGTATTGGATGCCGGTGTCAGGGCATACTTGAGAATGAGATTCACCTGTCGTGTTCACAGGGCTGACGGGAAGCTTATTTGTGAGCAACAGGTGTTGAACGAGTTGGTGGTGGATAGAGGTCCCAGTCCGTATGTGACTCAACTTGAATTGTACGGAGATGGCTCATTGTTGACGGTTGCCCAGGCAGATGGGCTCATCATTGCTACACCCACTGGGTCCACTGCGTACTCACTTTCAGCCGGGGGGTCGTTAGTGCATCCCGGTGTCAGTGCCATAAGCGTTACTCCCATCTGTCCTCACACCCTCTCTTTCCGTCCGATATTGTTGCCTGATGGCATGTTCCTCAAGGTCAAGGTCCCCAGCACCAGCCGGTCCACGGCATGGGCGTCGTTCGACGGTAAAGTCAGGACCGAGTTGCACAAGGGCGACTACGTCACAATCCACGCTAGTCCGTTCCCCTTCCCCACCGTCATCTCGTCCAAAACCGAGTACATTGACAGTGTCAGCCGCAACTTGAACTGGAATGCCAGAGAACAGCAGAAACCCTTCACCCACCTCCTCAGCGAAAATAACAAGAAAATCTACGAAAGCTCGCCCGCAAACCTCGACTCACACATCAACAACCTCTCCCTCGCCCCCGACGAGTTCGACATCGACTACACCGACGAAGAAAGCTCCTCCCTCTCTGACGAGGACATACCCTTCGTCCCTTCCCCCGAAGAAGGCTTGGAAACTCCCCCTACCTACGGAACATTCGAAGACCGTCCCTGCTTCGCACATCCGAATGCAAAAATATCGCTCAACGGCTCGTCCTCCATGTCCAATTTTTCGTCTCCTACATCTGCCGAGTCCGACACCCTTACTATGTATCCTAAACATAGAATAAGTGACAACCACACCCCTAACAATTGATATAGCCTCTGCTACACCCTTCCATCCTATGATAAGAAATCACTATCATCACGTGTAACTAACAATAAAAAGAAAGAAAATTTTCCAACAAAAAAAGAAATCAGTCGTGTTTGAACCGACGGAAAAAAAAGTGAAAGGTCTTATAAAAGATTCTTTTCTTCGCCTTTATACTGTTCTTCTTTAATATTATACAATTTATAGTAAAAACATACCTTATTAAGACATAATATGGCAGATATTACTCAACAAATGAACAACCTTTCAGTTGAACAAGGTTCGCAAGGAAACGGTTCATCCCGCTCGCAGTATGTTCCACCTCATCTTCGTAACAGACCATCAGGCGGCAATGGGTCTTTTGGCGGCAACCGTCGTGGTGGGTTTAATAACAACTCTTTTGGAGGATATGATAATAACCGCCGTGGAGGATATAATAATAACTCTTTTGGAGGATATAATAACAACCGCCGTGGAGGATTTAACAACGCTCGCGGGTCAGGCAGATATAATACGCCTAAGCCAGGTGTTGGTAGATGGGTTGATGGTAAGCACGAACCAGCAGAGAAAAACGAAAGACTCGAAAAGGAATTATACGGGATTGACGAAGAGCCAACCACACAATCTTCGGGTATTAATTTCGACAACTATGATGACATTCCAGTCGAGGCTTCAGGTGAAGGAGTTCCGGAACCTATTACTGCTTTCACAGCACCACCATTGGACCCATTGTTGGTGGAAAACGTCAAGTTATCCAGATTCACAAAGCCTACTCCGGTGCAAAAGTACTCGGTGCCTATCGTTGCTGCCGGAAGAGATTTGATGGCATGTGCCCAAACTGGTTCGGGTAAGACTGGTGGTTTCTTGTTCCCAGTGTTGTCTGAATCGTATATGAACGGACCAGCTGAGGTTCCAGAGACTGCTGGCGCCTTCTCCTCGCACAAGGTTTACCCTACTGCGTTGGTGATGGCTCCAACCAGAGAATTGGTGTCGCAAATTTTCGACGAAGCCAAGAAGTTCGCCTACAGATCGTGGGTGCGTCCAAGCGTCGTCTACGGTGGTGCTGATATTGGTGGCCAAATCAGAAACTTGGAAAGAGGATGTGACTTATTAGTTGCTACTCCAGGTCGTCTTAAGGACTTGTTGGAAAGAGGCCGTGTATCCTTAGCTAACATCAAATACTTAGTGTTAGATGAAGCTGATAGAATGTTGGATATGGGTTTCGAACCACAAATCAGACACATTGTCCAAGAATGTGACATGCCAGGTGTTGAAGACAGACAAACCTTGATGTTTTCAGCCACCTTCCCAAAGGAAATTCAATTTTTGGCCCGTGATTTCTTAAAAGAATACATTTTCTTATCTGTTGGTCGTGTTGGTTCTACCTCCGAAAACATTACCCAAAAGATCTTATACGTTGAAGACGAAGAAAAGAAATCGGTCTTATTGGATTTATTATCTGCAAACGACAACGGTTTAACAATTATTTTCACTGAAACCAAGAGAATGGCTGATAACTTAGCCGACTTCTTATACGACCAAGGTTTCCCAGCTACTGCTATTCATGGTGACAGATCACAATACGAAAGAGAAAAGGCATTAGCTGCTTTCAAGACTGGTACTGCTCCAATCTTAGTCGCCACTGCAGTTGCCGCCAGAGGTTTAGATATTCCAAATGTTTCCCATATCGTCAACTATGATTTACCAAGTGATATTGATGATTACGTTCATAGAATCGGTCGTACTGGTCGTGCCGGTAACATTGGTATTGCTACCGCTTTCTTTAACAGAAATAACAAGAACATTGTCAAGGGCTTAGTTGATTTATTGACTGAAGCTAACCAAGAAATTCCTGATTTCTTGAACAAGATTGCTAGAGAATCCGCCTTTGGTGGAAAGAGCATGCGTGGCGGTAGTTCTCGTGGCGGTAGAGGAGGTGCTACCAGAGATTTTAGAAAGCAAGGTGGCGGTTTCGGCGGTGCCAGCTCTTCTAACTGGGGCGGAAGCAGCAGCAGCGGTGGTGGCTGGGGTTCTTCAAACAACGGCGGCTATTCTGGATACAGTGGCCGTAGTAACGGTTACAGCTCTTCATCAAATTACGGTAACCCATCCGCCAGTAACTCCTGGTGGTAAGTTATTCCATGATATTCACCCTAATGCGGTGTTTATTAATTTTTTTTTTATTGGTTTTGTTGATCGGCATGTGTTTTTTTTAGAATGTTGCTTGATTTTTGTTAAGTTGAATTCACTTTGCTGTGCATTTCGTTGTTACCTTTCGATGTCTCAATCTTACTGTTTGTTAGGGAAAAAAGAAGATTTTTGTTCAGTTGTTTTGCATTAATCACTTATGTTTTTTTGCTTCCATCTTGTTTTTATTAATTAAAATATTTTTAATTAAACATTTTTTTTGTTTGTTGGTTTTTTTATACGTTTGATATTTTGGAGTTGCGTTCTAGTTTGATTTTATTGTTATTTGTCATTGTTGTTATTATGGACCACTAATCATCAAGAATAGGAGCTCAATTCCAATTGTTTGTCACAGAATGTGTATGTATAGTATCTTTTATTGAATGAAAGAAAGAAAGAGAAAATATTTTATCAGAGAATAAAAAAACATTATAGAAAAGTTATTAATGGGTTACTTATAAATCTTTTTTGTTTTCGAGTTGGGGTTTTTAAAGTTGAAGTTCTTATTTATAAGTTAATATTTTGGATTTAGACATTGGGTTATTTATATTTGTTGTTGAAATGCATTATTAAAGTGTATATATATCTATTGTATATATATATATATATCATTATTATTATTATTATTATTATTATCATTGTATTATGAGTAGTTGCATTTTAAGCATGTAGATATGGTCAGTAATCAAATGTTAACGCTGTTCGATACTAGCGTATTTTCAGTTATAGCTCCTAGTCTTCAGCAGGGAGACTAGATGATAACTACGATAGTTGCTTAAATACACAGTCTACAAAATACTAAGTTCACGGTTTATACACGCGCGATCTAGTATTTCAATATTTCAACATCGTCAGATTGTTAAAATAGCGTCAAATAAAACCAATAAGGC